CCTTTCCTGGAACTCACTTGGTAGCCCAGGCTGGCCTCGAACTCACAAAGATCCGCCTGGCTCTGCCTCCCGAGTGCTGGGATTAAAGGCGTGTGCCACCACCGCCCGGCTTCCACTTTATTTTCATAGGTGACTCATTACGAAGTGGTTCTATAACATTTCCCATCTCAGGAACAAATTCATCCTCTCAAGAACCTCATGGCTGTGCTTCCCTGGTCCCTCAGAGTCAGGATCAGTGGCGATATCCTCTTTCTGCTCATCCCCTGTGCACTGAGGTCTACAGTGTTCTCAAACTTGTGACAATCACTCAGACCTATAGTGCTGGTTCCTCCTTGGTGTGTATGTGTGTGCAGAGCCTGCCCCCAGGATGGTGTTACTTCTAATACCATGGGACTTACTCAGTAGCTCTCAAATTCTTTCTGTTGCACAGTGAAATCTCATCCTCAGCCCTCTTTTTTTCAAATTTACTCCATGAGATAGGGCTTCAATGATGATGACAGAATGCATACTGGAAGTCATCTCTTCTTGGTTTAAGTATCATAAATTCTAGAAGGTCATTGCTTCCACCTGTATTGTTCATGTGAAGGAGGTCTGTTTCAGTTAAATGTACAAAACGAGATTTGAACAATAGGTCAGAGAAGTCAGAGGAGAAAAAGCCTGGAGCAGTTGGTCAAAGAGGACTAAATCACAATTTCACAGGAGCAAGACATTCTTGTGTTGTTTGATATCTTCATAGCTGCTGCAGTGCAGGGAGAAGCTCGACAAGATGCTAAGCCTTCATTTTCCAAAGGAGCAGAGGGGTTCAGCTTCTTGGAAAAGACTGACACCCAGCTTGCTCACACCAGTTACATTGGTCAAGCATATACAAAGTTGACATTGGATAAGAAAGGTTCTAACTACCATGGTTTACTTGTTCTTGCTGTCCATGAAAACAGACAACCCACTCAAATCTCATTCCCTTTTGACTATGGCTGGCCATCATCAAAAGTATGAACTCCAGGTTTGCCAGGAGTATCTTAGGACCTAGGCCGGTGCAGCTGTAATCTCTCACAGAGCACCAAGTGCAGGTTCTCCAGAGAGACAATATTTCTTCAAGGCTTACACGGCATCAAGACAATTTCTCAGCCTCTGCTGATCAACCCAAACACTACAAAGGCTTTACTGAAATATTTCTCCCAAAGTCGGACTATAAGGCATTACCATATATTTCATTTAAAGCCGGACATAAAGGCTTTACTTTACATATCACTATATTCTGGCTTACTACTGAACAGCATGCTGATTATATACACAGAAAAACACTTTATTCTTTGAGAAATGTAAAGATTTAGGTTTTTACCATCAATGAATGAGAAGTGTGAGATGGGTATATCTACTCATCTAAGCAACAGGCAATGTCAATATCACACCTCCTTCTCTA